GTGGTTCCTGACCTGAGGGATGTCTGCTTAGCCTCAACCAGGGCAAGAGCTTTTTCGGCCCTCGCCCCGGCCTGGTGGAACAGGCTCCCATTTGAGATCAGAGCCCTGTGGGACCTCTTACAGTTCCGCAGGGCTTTGTAAAATGGAGCTGTTCTGCCAGGCCTTTGGTTGAGGCAGCGGTCGTTCAACCATTCTGGCCCCCTGTCCGTGGCCCCTTTCTGTCTATGCCCTTGCTGTCCTGGATGTTATTTAGGCACTGGGATTCTTTTTGGGGTAATTATTTCTGCCTGATAAGAGGCGTGGGTTCTGGTTATTACCCGCTGTTGCTATTTATTGTTTTATTGTTTATTGGTTTTACGTTGTCAGCCGCCCTGAGCCCATTGCTGGGGTAGGGTGGGGTATAAATTAAATTATATATATATAATGCTCAGGTGTTTGGTACAGCCTAGAGGTCTCAAGTCTCCTGTGTACTTACCTGTATCCGATGCAAGGTCTGTAATTCCTTTCCATGTAGATTATCCCTTCTTTTTTATAGTATACTGGTTGGTTCATAACTTTTAATTTCACCCATATGCAGGGCTATAACGTGTACCTTCAGTGTTTTCTGTTGACATTACTATCCCATGTGTACAGGCAGAGTGCAAGCTTTGTACCAGTTTGGTGTAGTGGTTAAGTGTGTGGACTCTAATCTGGGAGACCCGGGTTTGATTCCCCACTCCTCCACTTGCACCTGGCTGGATGACCTTGGGTCAGTCACAAGCTCTGGCACAGCTGTCCTTGAAAAAGAGCAGTTTGTGTCAGAGTTCTCTCAGCCCCACCCACCTCACAGGGTGTCTGTTGTGGGGAGGGGAAGGGAAAGGAGTTTGTAAGCCGCTCTGAGACTCCAAGTGAAGGGCGGGGTATAAATCCAATCTCTTCTTCTTCTTCTTCTGTACGAGTGCTTCCTTTCTAGCTCCCATGCCAGAGGGAAAAAACAATATTTAGCAGGGCTAAACTAGCAAAGAAACTGGGGTTTAGGTGGGATCAGGGATTAGAAGGATCATGTAGTGCCCCTGGAGGTTAGCTGCAGACCGCTGCATTGACCTGCTGAGCATAAGCACATAATAGGGAGGAAGTAATAGAGGGTGTGGGTGGAATGCGACATAATTACTTTGCCACTTTGACTTTATCTGTACTAGTTCACTATGTAAATACAGAAGCTGAAAGCTCGAAAGTCCATTGAGATACCTGAACAGTTACGGAACATCCCGCACAGTGTGTCTGTACTCCTTACAAGCAGTAATGCACATGTCACAAGTCCAGTCCCATCCTGGCTTGGAAAGGTTATTGAAACTAGGAAGTAAGAAAGGAAAGAGCCTGAAACCTGAATTTTGGTTTTGCTTCTTGGTAATCTCCTCCTCCAAGAGTAACATTTCAACCATTTTTTAAAGCAATGCCGTTCCAGAACCAGCTGTTGTATCACTAACAAAATTATACTAACAGGAAAACTCTGAAGAGGTGTTGCATTTTGTTTCTCAAATGGACAGTAGCAAAGAAATGCCTGCTAAACTTGTGATTACTCCTACAATCATCACTGTCCTTCAGCAGTGTATACTTGATTGGACGGATCATGTCACCGTTTTAGCATTTGTATGACTTCTCCTTTCGAGTGTGGACTATCTGGATGTGTTAAATTACCAGGTGGCAGATGAGGTGGCGATCTCTTCATACTCGCATTTGAAACTTTATAAAATGCCTTCCAAGCATATGTAATGAAGCATGTGACTGAAGAGTTAAATACTGCTATTGCATCCTTGCACAATCGATAATTAATCTATAAATTGTCACAGTGTGATATGATGAGACACTTGCCTAAAGTATTTCTTTCAGGGATTAGATAGATATTGGCTGGGTCTTGCCATCGTGGTCAAAATACTGCCTCAGTATGCTGAGAGTATATTTCAAAGCGACATCATACTGTACTTGAGATAATCTCTTTGGCGTCTGGCTGTTAGGAGACAACATGCTAAACCAGTGCTGAAACAAGTGGAACATCCTGTCCTGTGTGGGTGGTGGCCAGACTATGAGACGGTTATCAAGTTAACATTGAGTTAAAGTGGTACATTCAAAATCTGTTTTTTCCCCCTCTCCCCAAGATACTCCCTCTAGAAAACAAGATGAAGAACCCTCAACAGTTTCCCACCATCCTTTATGTGGGCATGGGACTTGTCACTGTCCTCTACATCACCCTGGGAGCTTTGGGATACATGCGTTTTGGAGATATGATCAAGGCCAGCATAACACTCAATCTGCCTAACTGTTGGTGAGTCAAGAGAAGAAGAAAGGCTTTTTGATTCATGCTTCAAGTGGAAGTACATAGCCCTTTTGAATGGTTTAGAATGGAAGTAGGAGGAGGGATACTGAAGGGTTAGAGCCAGGTTTCAAGGGACATTTGAAGTGTGTTTGGGAGGTGTTCTCATAGGGAGGATAAGAGGAGAGGGAATTGTAAAGCCTTTCAAGTATTCAGGATCCTCAAGAACGATCACGCCTCATAGTTCATATCTGTCTTAGCAGTCTTGTTTTTTTTGTTGGGCTTTCTGTCTGCATATCCAATTGGTTTTCCTTCAGCATACCATGTAGTACTTCATGAAGCAGTTGCAGTTTTATTCACTGTGTACACTATATTTGTATAAGGCTTTCTGTGCATCTCCTCCCCACAAGTGCAACCACAAACCATGCCTTGCATTAAGTTCTTGCATCGTCTCTATTACACTTCTGTGTGTGAGCACTTACAGTTTGAAGCCAAGCACATTTTACTTTGGGACTGTAAGCTGCTTGTTGGTACAGTGTAGTTGCTGGATATGTAAAAAGGTTATCAACAATTTCTGGGCATCCTCCTACATTCCTAATATACTTTATATTAACTCTTATGATACCTGAGAATATGCCATCCTGGTAGAGAAGCCTAGAAATCCAATAGGGAAACAGTGATTTTTCCTCAGAGAAAGTTGCAACATGTACTTTATTTGATTTTTCCTCAGAGAAAGTTGCAACATTACTGGCAAATGGTTCAGTGGGGAGCAAAATCTTTCTTTCTTTGTCTGTAGAGAAAGGGTTATATTTACAGCTGAAAAGTGATGGTCTCTATGGAGGAATCTCCTATCATTGCTGATTTCTTTGTTGTGTTAGCAGTATGACATCTCCCCTTAGTTTTTCCTGTATTATTTTGATTTCTATCCTGCTTCATCCCAAGGGCTCAGGGTAATGATAATATACTAGCTCACACAAGCAAATTCCCAATAAAAAGACTGGTGGGGGAGGGAACAGAATTTTAAAATACTGAACTTTAAAGAGAGATCCTTCTGTTCATGGTGAGCAGTTATTTTTTTCTGAAGGAGGAGAATACAATGGATTGAGTAGTTCTCAGCTGATTCAGGCAGCATATTCCTCCATCATGGGAAAATTTCAACCCCCCACTCCATTTAAAAAATTTTTAAAAGATTTTTCTCCAAGCCTGGAGAAAGATTTAGAGAAATCTTCCTTTCTCCATGACCCTGACCTGCAAATTTAAGTACCTGCAGATGGGGGCCCTATTGAGAATTAGATATATGGATTGCTCTAATAAATACCATTTGGAGTTATGGTCATGGTTATTTTGAAAGGGTAGCAGACACCTGTAATTGCAGTGCGTCATCTTACTTTTGCAAGCTTAACCATACTTTGCCTTCTCTGACCCAATGTCAGAAGCTTTGCTTTCTCGTTCTGGATTGAGATTCTGTGGCTGCTTGCGTCAGCTGATGGTACATATTGCCACATTTTGAGTGCTTCCAAGACTGTTCTGTCTGCACTTTCAAGGACTTATCCATAAGTCTATAACTAAGCACTGTGTGTGTGTGTGTGTGTGTGTGTCTGTGGAGTATAGTCCAGAGTCCCTGCATTAACTTCCTTTGAAGGACATTCTTGGTTTTCTGGCAGCTTCTCTAATAGAGGCTTTGGTGTAGTGGTTAAGAGCGCAGACTCTAATCTGGGAGAACCGGGTTTGATTCCCCACTCCTCCACATGCAGCTGCTGGTGTGACCTTGGGTCAGTCATAAGTTCTTTTAGAGCTGTTCTTTCAAGGGCAGTCCGAGAGAGAGCTCTCTCAGCCCCACCTACCTCACATCGTGTCTGTTGTGGGGAAGAGAAAGGGATTGTAAGCTGCTCTGAGATTCCTTTGGGTAGTTAAGGGCAGGGTATAAATCCAATCTCCTCTTCTTTCTCCTTCTTTTTTGGTAGGCTGCTTACTGTTTTGATGCAGGATGTGCCCTTACAGGTTTCTTTGAAGACTACCAGAACCTGAAGGGGATAATACAGACCCCAAAGCTCATATAAGAATTTCCTTTGCTTCCTAAGGCCCTGTCCATCCATTCATATTTTGAGGAGAAATCTTGATCTGGCCTGATACAGGATGTGCCCTTACGAGTTTCTTTGAAGACTACCAGAACCTGAAGGGGATAGTACAGACCCAAAAGCTCATATAAGCATTTCCTTTGCTTCCTAAGGCCCTGTCCATCCATTCATATTTTGAGGAGAAATCTTGATCTGGTCTGATCAGGCTCTTGAGTTATCCTTGAGAAAAACTAGCAGGTGAACTGAGTTTTGCACCACTTTAATTTGAATGCAGTACCTTCCTAGCTACCTGATCTTTCCTTTGTAGAGAATGGTTGAGTTTCATCTGGGTGGTCAGGGAAATACAGCATTGCAGTAAAACTATACAGGCAGATTCACACATGCTCTGCAGTGAGGGGCAAGGGTTCAGTTGTGCCTGAGATTAATGGCAGGTTGAGAATTCTCACAAGAATGTAGTGAGAAAAGAAGCTCCTAATTTTATTTGGATACTGTCTGTGAGAGAAACTTTTCCTGAAAACCTACCATGCTTGCAGAAAGCTTGTTTTCAGAAAGACTTATGATTAAAGGGATGTTGAAATAACCTCTGTCATCACCACCATGGCAGGTGGTGAAACAGAAATGAAAAGACGTCTGGTTATCATCTGGATGTTTACCAATTTAAAACTTTTAAGAACAAAAACAAAGCTGAAAGACAGGACTTAAACAGTGCTCTCTTGTGGATTCTTTGCTCTCTAACCTGCTGATTCCTCCTGTATCCTTCTCAAAGTGAGAGCTGATAATTAAAGGTAGAATGTTCACTAGGCTAGCATTGCATGTTTTAGTCTAACACGCTTCTTTGATCAATCAAAGGCAGCACACACAGGCCCCGTTCAAAGCCGGATGCATCCAAGCTGTGTCACTTGTCATATCCTATAGCTAGTAAGGTAAAGGTAAAGGTTTCCCTTGCTCGAAAGCCAGTCGAATCCGACTCTAGGGTTGCGGTGCTCATCTCCGTTTCAAAGCCGAAGAGCCAGCGCTGTCCGAAGACGTTTCCGTGGTCATGTGGCCAGCATGACTAAACACCAAGGCGCACGGAACGCTGTTACCTTCCCACCGAAGTGGTACCCATTTATCTACTTGCAATTTCTTGCTTTCGAACTGCTAGGTTGGCAGGAGCTGGAACTAGAGACGGGAGCTCACTCCGTCTTGCGGCACACTCTGGTCTTGAACTGCTGAACTACTGACCTTCCACAGCCTGCAGTTCAGTGTCTTAACCACTTGAGCCACCGCAGCTCTATAGCTAGTAGGTATCTTCAAGTATTCTATACTGCCAACTTACACTGGCTAAAAATAAATAAATCACAATTTGCTCTTTAAACAAGGAGGCTAGTAGGGTGATGTCTGGAAGTGACTTGTCAGAATAAGATGATAATTCAAACTGTATTGCCCTAGGCAGTTCCAGACGAAGTTTTTGCCTCATCCTTTGTGTGAAACGTCTGTGCCTCAGGTCAGATGGAAAAAAGTAGTAATTAAGGGCTTTTGCTGATAGTCTCTGAAGCATGTTCAGTATCTGCAGCTTGGAGGCAGTGCTTAATTGATAACACATCTTGCCTGCACACGTTTTTGTTATTTTATTGCTAAATCCAAATGAAAATAGCGTTTCTTCTGCCGATGTGATCCAGAACTTTAATGCTTTCTTTTGGCTGTGCTGGTAGGATTCAGAACCTCATAGGCAAACCCAGAGCTCTCTACACGCAGGTCATGTGTGTGTGCTTATTCAGATGTTTCTGCTTACTTATTAATCCATCTGTTGGTTGAATGAAACATATAGATTAGGTGTTTTTAAAAGCCTGCATGTGTCCAAAGAGGTCTGGTTTCCATTCTTGATTCTGGTAACAGCCAGATTCATGGGAGTGGGGTTGGGGTTTTTTTGGGGGGTTTGTTTGTTGAGCAACAAGCAAGAGTCATAACCTTCCTTTAGTTTCTTGCTTAGGCGTTCTGTAAGTCATCAACCATGACAGGGGTCTCCAACGTGGTGCCTGTGGAAGTGGGTGGGGTCAGGTAGGGCTTCTGCCCAGCAAGGCTTCTGATTGATTACTGGAGATTTGGTTGGCTGTGCAGATTTTTGCAAATGTTGCTTTAGCAACAGCTGCCACCCAGAGCACAAGGATCTGCACTGTGTGACTGAAATTAAGCTGTGACAATCATTTTGTGGCTGACTCTGCCTCCCATGGCAGCCATTTTGTGGAAGCCATTTTGTCACTGCACCTGTCATGCCGTGTCAGAATTCCAAATGGTGCCCACAGGCGCAAAAGGTTAGGGACCCCTGAACTACAACAGCCCTAACTGCTTCGCTGCAGTTGATATTCGTTGGCACGTGAGGTCTGCGCAACTCTACAGTGCTTGTTTCAGAACAAATGAGATCAAATTCCTTTCTCCCCCCACCCTTTATCTCAAAGATGTTGTAGATAACCTTTTCCACATACGAAGGACGGTATGTTCAGACGGGGGTTTTGTACTCCATTTGGACTTTGATGCCATGAGGACTGGAACAACTTGCTCTTCTGTCATCTTGGCAAGTTGCCATGTAGTGTAACTCCTCCTCTGTCCCTCACAGGATCGTGAAGGAATGTCTCATCCTGCCTTTATGTCTTAGAAGCTTAGTGCACTTATAGATGTTTAGGGCACCAAAGAATCAAAGACAGACACTCTCAAGTCACCAAAGAATCGACATGACATAGAATGTAGGGTGAATATTAACAGTAACAAAAACAGATTTTCCTTTGTCTGCCCCATTTGCCGAAAAGCTTCAGTTTTATGTAAATAGCTTACCTTTGAGTGAAGCCAATAAAAGTGTCTTTGGTGATGACATCAGTATTGCCTAGAACTTTCTTACATCGGGGCCAAGACCGCCAAGTGCACCGCTGCAGGGGGAAGGGCAGTAAGCAAAACCGTGAAATATTCATGACTGAAGCTGACACAGGATTTTGCAGGTTTAAAAAAAAATAAAATTAGGATAAAAGCAGGCTCGCCCCAGCATGGGACGAAAATAGCTTAAATATATGTGTGTTAAATTGTCTTTTCAAAAGAAGACTGGAGGTTAACAACATGAAGATGGGAGTGTAAAGGTCTGGGATTTCTTATTATCTATAGCTAAGAGCCAGGTCTGTGTGTGCCTAACTATATTGTTGATAGCAGTAGAAATGCTACTCTAATACAGCATGTACTGTCCACATGCCAAATCTTGTATCCTCAACAGAAATATCCAGAGAACCATAAGCTTCTGTCCGTATATGTTTGGTGTAGTGGTTAAGTGTGCGAACTCTAATCTGGGAGAACCGGGTTTGATTCCCCACTCCTCCACTTGCACCTGGCTGGATGACCTTGGACAAGCCGTAGTTCTGATAAGAGCTGTTCTTGAAAAAGAGCAGTTTCTGTCAAGAGCTCTCTCAGCCCCACCTACCTCACAGGGTGTATGTTGTGGGGAGGGGGAGGGAAAGGAGTTTGTAAGACACTCTGAGACTCCTTTGGGTAGTGAAGGGCGGGGTATAAATCCAATCTCTTCTTCTCTTCTTCTTCTGTTGGTATATGTTTTGTGTGTTCTAGTTTTGGCCAAAACCCCCCACAGCTCTCAGTTTGCAAGAGCTGAGCAAGACTATTAACGAGAGGACATTTCAGAGGTCATTAATTCATAGGATCACTGTAACTCGGAAGTGACTTGACAGCACTTCTCTCTCTCTCTCTCTCTCTCTCTCTCTCTCTCTCTCTCTCTCTCTCTCTCTCTCTCTCTCGGGTTTTGGCTCCTTTCTTACACTTCTGCTTTTTTCTCCCAAAGCAGGAATGTGTAGTGCTGGTGGTGGTTCAGAACTGAGGTGGAGACTGAAGCCTGGCTTCAGTTTTGTGGGGCTAGAGCATTTAATGATTTCTGCCTTGCTTTTTCATCCAGAAGGTTCTGCAACATAGTTTAAAGATGGTAATATGCTGATGGGGGGCGGTTTTGCTCCTTTCTTACACATAGCTCTGCTCTGGAGTTGACATTTCCCTCAAACCCAGTTCTTATTAGGCCAGTGTGGTGGGTTCCCCTCAGTTCCATCATGCATGCACTTCTTATTCCCTTCTTCCAACCTCATGCTAGGACTACAGGTCTTCCAGGCCAGAGATGGGGGGGAAGGAGGATCCAAGTATATCAGTTCTGTCTTTAAAGAGGACATAACTTTATCTTGCATGTAAACCACTAGAGGATTAGAAAGGGCTTACATTAAACAATATAATTAAGAGGCCACTATTTAGTGACTTCACTTACACATCTGTCATTTTCCTTCCTCCAAGGAGACTGGGGTGATAAACGCCCCTGATGTGGAACCCACCAATGCCTTTCCTGGTGCCTGCCAAGTGTTTTTAGAAAGTGGGTGGGGTTTTTCCCAGCAAGGCTGATTGGCCGTTGGAGATTTGACTGGCTGTGCAGACTTTAAAAACACGTTTTGGCAGTAGCTGCCAGCAAACCACAAGGATCCTCACTGTGTAAGTGAAGGTAAGCTGTGGCAGCCATTTTCTGGTTGGCTGCACCTCCCGTGGCCATGGTTTTGTGGCATCCATTTTGTTGCTGCACTGGCCACATTGTGTCAGTAATCTAAAGGTGCCCACTGGCTCAAAAACTTGGGGACCCCTGGTTTAAAAAGTGTGATGGGCTCAAGATCATCTCGTGAACGTCATGGTTAGATGGGGACTTGAACCTAAGTCCCCCAAGACACTAACTACTACATTATTACAGTACAGTAAATTAAACAGAAGGCCAGGGAGAGGTCTTCTGCTTAATTTGTAATCTCATTTAATCAGGGAAAGGGACTTTTCTTATTTGATCTCTCCCAACTCCTGAGTCACCCACTCTTGTTCTCGCTTTCATGCTCACACACCTCTGCAAACAGTAATCATATGGCAAAGTCACTGGGTAAAAAATTTGACTTTTGCCTTTTAATTTAACTCCTTTGTCTCATAGAATGAATGGATATAACTGTTGGTTCTTGTATCATTTGCAGGTTGTATCAGTCTGTCAAGCTGTTGTATTCTTTTGGGATCTTCTTCACTTATGCATTGCAGTTTTACGTCCCTGCAGAAATAATCATTCCTGTGGCTGTGTCTCAGGTCCCTGAACGCTGGGCATTGTGGACCAACCTGTTCCTGAGGACATGTCTGGTTTGCGCAACATGTAAGTATAAGGCCAAAGCTGATTAATATTCCTTGCCATGTGGCAAGAAAGGAATGTGTTAGATGGCTGAGAATCAACCAATTGAATATCTCATTATGAGTGGATGGATGTGCAGGCACATGTAAAGAGGCACAGCTTGTGCAGGCCAATTAATGTTAAAAATGAGAGAAATCATGACAATTTATTCAGCCTCTGCCTAGTAAGATAGTTAAGCCCAGCTGTCTGAAGAGAGTAATGCTGGTTGCTGGTAGTGAGAGGCTGGAAATTCATTTTCTGAACGTACTGGACATTTACCAATATGGCTTCCCTTGGCAAAATGCACTTCTGGAATCCACTTAGGATAAGCTTAGGCAGATTTTAGTTCATTTGAACTTTAGAATTTAAGCTCTTAAATGCTTTCCAGGGATTTTCCCCCCGCACAGGGATTCATAAGATCGGCTGGTCCCAAACAGCCCTGAGTCTTTCTCTTGAGACATGAAATGTACTTGCCCTATAAGTCATTGCCAAACAGTTGTTGTCTGGGGAACCAAGAGTGTAAAGTCTGGACATTGATTTTTATACCTCAAAAGACAAAACAGTTTAGAAGGAATAACAGACTTTAACCTACCAAATAATGTACTAAAATCAAATTGTAGTTTGCTGTCAGTTCCCATATTTAGAAATGTGTTGGACTGCTATAAAAGTATGGGCAGTCCTAGTCTGGCCATAAGGCTTAGAAGAAGTCACTTAGTTTGGTTCCCTGGTATCCTGACTCAACTGCTGTGGAATGCTTGCTGGATCACTGTTTGAATGCATCTGCTTTATATCACAGGTTCTGTGTGCTCCTACCCGCCTGACTTTTCATTTTCTCTCTCTTTGTGCGTATTGCCATTTATTCTTGAGCATCATCCTTGTTGCCTTCTCATCTTCCTTTTTACCTCAACACAGCATGGCCAGTGGTGCCAAGCCCTTAAGTAAGCTGCTTTCCACATCTGCAATCCTGCACAAGTTCTACTTTCAGCAACATCTCCCATGCATTTGGCTATTTCATCCTTGCTCAGACCCATGCTTAGCATCCTTAAGAGTGCCAAGCTTCAGAAGAAGCAGAGGTAGGAAAGATGAGCCTTGTCTAGTGATATGTTTGAGAACAATACAATGCTTACATACTATGCTGAACCCCTGTCTCTTCCCCACTCCCAGGCAGATTTTCCACCAAAACTTTAGTTCCCCTCAGTGACTGAGTTGCCCTTACGTAGCGTGTATATCTTCTTTGTCTTAATAACCTAAACTGTCCCACCGTGGCTATTGACCCAGCACAGGAACTTGAGGGAAAATACAGGAGCTGTCTTGTCTTATTATTAAACACCTCTGCAGTGGCACTTGAGGCAGCATAACTTTCAAAACAATAAAGGCTTGTCTTATTATTAAGGGAATATGAATATATATATATGTGTGTGTGTGTGTGTGTGTACACGCACATATATACACACACATAGAAGATATCAAGATTTAGAAATGCTGAGGTAAAACTTTATATACAGACTTGAGTACTTGGAATATACACGCGAATGTGGTTGTAGCTTAATTTTAGAGTTTTCTAGTTCTTTTCATTGAGAGATACTTGGCTTAGTATATTAGAGTAAAAACACAACTTCTTCATAGCGTTTCCTGGAGAATAGCTCTTTCTTAGAGTTTCTAGTTTCTCCCTTTGAAATCTGGTTTCTCCCTTCTGAAATCACAGCTTTCTACTAACTCCTGAGGTGTCCACATCTTATTCCCTCTACTACAGGCCCTGGGTTCTCCTCAGAGCACAACCCCTTTTACTGGCAGGACTTATTCTTTTCCCTAAAAAATAATAACCCTTTTCAACTTGGCTTGATTGGGAATTTCAGCCTAACTGCCCGGTCACCCTTGCCAAATCTGTCTTCCAGTACTGTTGTCTGTGTAAAGCAGTTTGTAGCTTTCTGGATCTAGAATTTCAATTCTCCCTCAGAGTAGTTCTAATATTGTTAGGGCAAAGGAGTCTCTTCTCTTCTTTCCGTAGAAGACCCCTTCTGACTAACCCGGTCAGAATACTGACTCCTGTTATAAAGGAAAACCTAAAGATGTCTCTGACAACTGAACTCTCTCCCCTCCAAAACAGCTGATGCTATACTTTCTCTCTGCTGATGCTGGCCAATCAGAGAACTAATAGAGCAGCCAATCAAACAAGCTCTCAACTGCAGGGCAGATTAACTCGTTATCTCCCATACTCTCTGAAGTAGCAGCATTTTAAAACCTGCTTTTCATGTGCAATCCGTCGCACATACATAATCACTTAACCTCCCAGTCTCATTTGGTCTCTCCAACCAATTTTGTTAGAATTGTATCAAGTGGAAAGTTTTTTTTTTAAATGGTGTGGGAATAAAGGTTTTCTAATGCCATATATGTACTGTAACAGTGACCACTACCAAATATGATAGAAGACAAATAAGGGTTGCATGCAAATATTAGGTACTAGCAAAACAGCTAAAACTAGCAGAGTCTGGGGTCTTCCTTTTTCAGACCCCTCCAAAGAAACAACTAACACAACCATATTCAGTGAAGTAGCCCAAGCTGCACATTTAAATTAGACATTTTTGTAGCGCTTGAGTGTTCAAATTGGCTCACAAACAAAATCTCAGTAGTTCTGACTCATTTTGCTGGGTTATTTGTAAAATTCCTATTGTGCCTATTTAAATGGACATGGAGATCCATTTTTAATTTGGCCTTAGGCTCACCTCTAAGCAAATTTGAATGGGAATTAAGTGCATGATTGCATGGCATTCCTCCTGCTAAAACTGCATAGTGTCAGACTGTAACTGGTGCAGGATTGCCTCGTTTCTTCCTTGCTGGAGGTCTGCCGTTGCAGGAGAGGCTCTGTAACCTTGCCTGAGTTACTGAAACAGCAGTGGGAGAGCTAGGGTTGCCAAGTCAGAAACTTACCGCAGCGGGGGACACCCAGCTGTTGTCTGGAGCGTGCGTGCGCGCCGCATCCACGTCACCCGGAAGTGACGTGGGTACGCCAGGCACGCTAGGGGTGGGGCCAGGACCATCCGAGGGAAAACCATAGAGTTTTCCCTCGGATGACTTTGGCCCCACCCCCAGCGTGCCCGGCATACCCGTGTCGCTTCCGGGTGATGTGCACGTGGGGGTAGAGTTTGCCCCGGGGCCCGATCCGCCGCTGGCGAGGAACGGGCCTCTGGGGCGGGGGTTTTCCTGCCCCCCGGGGGGACTTGGCAAGCCTAGGGAGAGCAGCCTGAAGGCTTGTGGTCTGAAGGTGGAGAATTTATGAATAAATGGTGGTAGGGTTTTGATTTCTACATAATCAGCACATATCCATAGTTTCTGCTTTTTCTTAGAGTTAAAAACACAGATGATGCCTGGGGCTTTGGACAAAAGAAGGGTAGACCAGAATTTGGAGAGTAAGAATGGCATTAGTGTTCCAGATTGCTCCTTCTCCTCTGATTATTAATTCTCCTTTTCTTAGGTCTAATGGCCTCCTGCCCCAAACTTCATGATACTGTTTTTGTTTCTTTAGTGAGTACGGCAATACTCAAATCTCCTCATTCATGCCAACCCAAGATCAGCCACAAGCTGTAATTCAAGACAGTGAGGCTTGGAGGCATATAATCAGGGAAGTGAGCAAGATAGGGAGATTGGAAAGCAGGAGTAGAAAAGGTCCTACTTTGTGCAGAAATGCAGAAATCTGGTTAGAAGGTTCTGAAGAACAAGTATAGACCTAGGGTCAGAGTAAGAAAACAATTGATTTTCCATAAGGAAACTGGTGGTTGTTTCTCAGCATTCCTAGAAGATGATTGTTGTCTGCTGGAGGTATGAGCCTGGATTTGAGCAGGGCTCTTAGATTGGGGTGGAGGGAGGCACTGAAAGTACAAAATTCCTTGGGATTGGGTTGTTTTGAGGGCTGCCGAGAAGCCAAGCCTTCCACTTGCCTCGTTTTGCTCACGTATTCTCACCTGGCGTGATGCCTGTAATTTTAGACCTTTAGCAATGGTTAGTAGCCTCTCTAGGAATTCATAATTGCTCATTCTAACCCTTTGCTTCACTTCAAATCACAGTAAGTGCTCTCCTACAGCAAGACAACACTTGCTCCAGTTTATAGTGAGCAGTTATGACTTCTAGAGAGATTTTTTCTGCTTCTTTTCCATTAAGGATAAATGAGTTCCTCCCCTCACATCTGTCTCTTCTTTAAATGCTGGGGCAAGTCAGAGGAAATATTGGTAGTTCTCAGCAGCAAGCAGCCTGTGATCTGTCTCCACTGGATGAAGTGAGGGGGACAAGAATAGTGCAGATAATCTGATTTTTGCATTGCAGTACAGGGTTGCTGGATTCTAGATCCACAATATTCGAAACTCTATTACCTGGCCACCCCATCTCATGGTCGTTTCATTCCTAACCAACAACAGATAAAATATGTGCAAATACTATTTTGTATAGCTTCTAGCAAATGCTACTTTGTATAGCTTCTAGTTTTGATTTTTGCATCCTGGGTTTCATATGGAAACCGTTCTGAAATGCAGCTGCTCATTGTAGCTCCACATGATATTCTCTGCCTTTCACAATTAGGAAACAATTTCTTGGTCATTTCCTCTCCAGCCATATGCTTCACTGCTTCTTGTCTCTTATCAGACAAGCAAACAAGATAGCCTGGTAGAGGTTCAAGGGATCTGCAGAAGATGGGCTAGAATAAATCCAGAGGCACAATGAAGGGCCTGGAAGAGAACAAGGGCTTAGAGTGCATCAGGTGCAGGTGCAAAAGGGAAGGACTGAGAGATGCCCCTTCTGTTACATGTTCCTGTGCTTTCACTGTAGACAGAGTACACGCTCAGTGGACTCTCAGCAAGGATAAAAGTAATTAAGTGGGTTGCAAGAACATTAATCAGGAATAGTCTTGTGGCCTCTGTGCAAATCTCTGTCACTGCTTGCATGTCCAAAGAGACAACGGCACTTTGGAGTTGAAGTGTCAACTTTGTGCAAATCTC